CACGCACGTCTGTGTTGGGGGCGGCGGGGGTGTGCGGACGGACAGACAACTGGGCGGTGGGCTGGCGATAAGGCTCTGAAGGGCGCAGAGCGGGGGTCAACAACGGCGGGTGAGGACAAGGCAAGGGGGCGCGGCCCGAGTGAAGTGAGGCGACCGCACCCGTGTTTCAATTCCGCTAAAAGACCGTCGTCGCTGTGAGCACGGCGGCGACAGAGAGCGATACGCCATCTGGGAACGTGACATAATGGGCCATGTTGTTGGCGTTGCGAGCACGCCACGGGGGCGGGGCGCAGCGGGGTGGACGTGGACGAGGCTGGACAGAGGGAGGCCAGCAGGGGAGGCGCTCGATGACAAAGGGGCGCGCCATCGACCTGGACTCGGCGGTGCGCTGCTCGGCGCTGTGCTGTGGGCCGGCCAGGCCCAGGCCGACACGCGACACTCGACCACTCTCTCGGAACGCCGCAAATTTGCGACGTCATTCCTGCCGCGCCCGCCGCCCGCCCCCCGTGCCGACGTCACGCCGCGGTGCGGCTGCGGCCAGTGACTATAGCCGGCCGCGGGCCCCCTCCCGAGCCAGTCGCACCCGGGTACTCGCCGGTGTGCCCGCCCGTCGCAAATCCGTCCCGCGCCCCTCGTCAAAACTTCGCGCCCTCCCGCCGAGGTTGGCAGCGCCGACAGCCTTGGCCGACCCGCCCCGAGTCTTGTGGATCCTTCGCGAAGGCAGTGGCCCATTCAAAGACTTCTCGCAGCGCGGCCGTCCGTTCCGGTCACATCCTTCCGCCGTCGTCTCGTGTCGCGTCGCTCGCATCCTTCGGCGCTGACACACGGGAGCAGCCGCGGCCGAGCGTCCAGGCGGTTACGTAAAGCGATAACACCCCGGCCCCCACCTCCGCGCCCCGTGGCAGTGTCTGCAGCGCGCCCGCAGCCTACGGACCTCTCTCAACATGGCTCCCGTTCAAGCCGGTGAGTACCTTTAACGCGGTCCGAAGGTGGACGTCGTCGCGGACCCCCCGAGCGCCGTCGCTCGTCCCCTTACCTCGGCCTGTTGAGGGTTCCTGCAAGTGGCGATCAGGTGTTTGGGCGGCGTCGGCCTCTGGACGAGCTGCTGCACCAGGCCCAGCCCCAGGCCGCGGTTGCACCCGGTGATGAGGACGGACTTCATGTTGCGCTGACCCTGCTGTTTGCGTCCGCACTCTGCTGGGCTCGGTTCTCTATCGGACGACTGGGGCGGGCAGATAACCTCTCCGAGCGCCAGCGGTGTCCTCCCCGTCAAGTAGTACGCCTGCTACTACTGCTACGGCCGCCAGCGACTGCCACCACCGCAACGACCTCTCCTGGGGAAATTCGGAACGCGAGTTGGCAGATGGGCAGATAGGGGGAATTTTGAGAGGCTGCAGCTGCAAGTATGGCGCTTCTCGCTTCGAGACGACTTGCGGGCAATTTCGCCTCCAGGCTCCTAGGGTTGAACGGTCCGGGAGAGGTAGAGTTCGTTTTGATTCGAAGAAAAGCTCGGTCCACTGCCCAGCGCTTCGCATCGACCAGCTCGAGAAGTAAGCCCCTGTCATTGACTACTCCAGTGTCCTAACCTTGAATGGTTCCTGCGACGAGCGAGCCGTCAGCGTGACTTGGGTTGTTCTGGAAAGTGACGCGGTCTAATGACGAGAAATTTCGTCATCGTAAATTAGTGGAACTCCGTGGCCTTGAGCGTTCCGCTGTGTCATGGCTACCTCTAGTGCGCTCTTGGAGGTTAAGACGTCCCAACTTCCCCCTCTGTTTTAAAGTTCCGCAGGCAATGACAGCTGTTGACGTTGTGCTAAGATAAAAGTTATGAAATCCTTTCAACTTCTTTTGGTGTTTTTTTCAGGTTCGCACGGTTTTGATTATGACCTGGTGGTCATTGGTGGTGGTTCAGGAGGCTTGGCTGCTGCTAAGGAGGCTGTCTCTCTTGGAAAGAAAGTAGCTGTTTTAGACTTTGTTGATCCTTCACCCCGTGGTACCACATGGGGTTTGGGTGGTACTTGTGTCAATGTTGGCTGCATTCCAAAGAAGTTGTTCCACCAGGCTGCCCTCCTCGGAGAGAGCCTCCATGTGAGTGTTCCATACATTTTCATTCTTCTCATAATACTGAACATTTTAGTAATCTTCTATTTTTCTACAGGATGCTGGCTGCTTTGGCTGGAACATTCCTGAAAGGAAATCTATTTCCCTGGATTGGGCTAAACTGAGGGAATCAGTACAAAACCACATCAAATCTGTCAATTGGGTTCTTAGAGTTGAGCTGAGGGATAAGTAAGTTTGTACAACAAAATCTTCTCATTGAAAACATCTCATATATTTCGTATCCTAACACTTCTGTTTTTCCTCTGCAGGAAAGTTGAATATATTAATGCTCGGGGATCGCTCATTGATACTCATACTGTCCATGCTAAGCTCAAAAATGGATCTGAGCGTGAGCTGAAGACTGAGCATGTACTCTTAGCAATGGGTGGCCGACCTATTTACCCTGATATTCCTGGTGCAGTAGAAAATTGCATCACTAGTGATGACATCTTCAGTTTACCTGAGGCTCCTGGAAAGACCCTTGTTATTGGAGCTGGTTACATTGGTCTTGAGTGTGCTGGTTTCCTCAATGAGTTCGGAATGGATGCCACCGTCATGGTGCGATCCACTGTACTGCGTGGATTTGACCAGCAGATGGCAGGTCTCATCTCTGAGGAAATGAAATCCCGTGGTGTCAAGTTCCTCCACAAAACTGTACCTGTTCGTATGGATAAGCAAGCTGATGGCAAAATTAAAGTTACCTGGAAGTCACTTGAAGTATGTATCCTGTTTTGTATCTTACTGCAAAACTCAAAGTTGTTTATACTAACTTGCAGCTTCTTACAATTTCAGAATAATTCAGAATCATCCGACTTGTTTGATACTGTTTTAATGGCAACTGGCCGTCGTCCCCTAACTTTGGAGGTCAAGGCTGATCAGGTTGGAGTGAAACTACACCCTGAATCCAAGAAGGTTGTCAGTGAGAAGGAGTTGACAAATATTCCAAACATCTTTGCTGTTGGAGATATTCTGGAGGTAGGCTTAATCCTATTTACAGGTTGAGCATTCTGATTTCAATTACATGCTTCATT